CCGTATCTTGGCGGATGCTCTAGTATTTGCTAGATAGGGTAGGCTGGTATATAAAAGAGGGGAATGTAATGTGTGTGTATAGATAGTGAGTAATTGAACTGCAGTCAGAAGTATTATTGACGTTCGTTGTCATAGCGTTTGTTTAGCGCGATTGTTGAAATTGAGTGTATCGGTAAAGTTATATTCGGAAAGAATAAACCAGTTTTATTAAGTAAAGACTTGTGTCGTTAAAATTTCGTCGGAACGAAGTTGCGGAAAAATCAATTAACAAACGGAGACGTAACACAAGCAAGAAAGAAGTGGTTGCTTTGGACGTGTAAACCTTACGAGGGAGCCTTTTGCAGTGGAAACTATGCTATAGAACAATTGTCAAGATGCATAGTCGGCAGACAGAGCCGACATGGTCAAGCTCTAGAAACGTTTCAATAAAATGTACTCATCGTCTGGGGCCTAGCTCGCAATATGCAGATCACAAGTTCGTATCCCGTCACTAAAAATGCACGTCCTTTCAGCTGTATGGGCGTTATAATGTGAAGGTCAATGCCACTTTTTATTAGCATTTCAAGGAGTTGGCAATGGGTGTTGAATAGTTGACTTACCTCTAGTCGTCTGTATGCTTACCGCTGACTAGTTGCGGAACTTTATTTATTAGAGTGTATACTTCGCATTCATTACTGATATTTTTTTTTGGGGGGGGGGATATCGTGCAAAGCTATACATGTACTGTTGAGTTAGCTGTCCCTAGTTTTAAACTGCTACACTAGATGGAAGGCAGCTAGTCAACAACACCCACCGTTTACTCGTGGGTTACACTAATTGAACAGTATTATTTGACCATAATTCTTTAAACGCATTCGCTGCTGCCCCAAACAGCGGAGCGTGATATTTTTGTGGCATTGAACGCGAACCCTCGAAGTCATTGTACAATGCTTTAGTCTCTAAGTCACGTCGACCCATTACTGGTTTATGTATAAACATATGGAGACGTTTGATCTATGTTACACCTATTCAACACCCGATATCGTTTAAATGTTGTGAAGGAGGGATTTAAGTAAGGTAGTCAGTCAGTTTATTTGTATGTGTTATCATACTGGTTTATGTATAAACATATGGAGACGTTTGATCTATGTTACACCTATTCAACACCCGATATCGTTTAAATGTTGTGAAGGAAGGATTTAAGTAAGGTAGTCAGTCAGTGTATTTGTATGTGTTATCATACTGGTTTATGTATAAACATATGGAGACGTTTGATCTATGTTACACCTATTCAACACCCTATATCGTTTAAATGTTGTGAAGGAGGGATTAAGTAAGGTAGTCAGTCAGTGTAATTTGTATGTGTTATCAAGAAAGTTATTATTGACAATTACGTAAGAATTATGCTAGATCTTGTGTCAAATCAAAATATCCGAATCGAAGTAAATCCTGACAAGATGTTGAATTATAACATTGTGTATGATAATAGTTCTTTTGGAATAGCTGACACTACACTTTTCCATGCTCACGAACGTATACCTGTAGTTTACAACTTTGTGAGACAGTGAGAATACAAAAATTTATTGCTATATATTTATTAATTTAATTGGATACATCTAATAGACACAATAATTACACTGTATCGAATAAAAACATAGAATATCAACAATGTTGCTCAGTGGTTTCCAAACTGTGTACCGCACGAAACGAAAATAAATTAAGGGTTAAGAACATAAAAAAATCTACAAAACATATTAAATGTGGCAGCAGGGGGTGTCGTCTGTGAAAAAAGTATGCGAACTACTGATCTAGCTTTATGGATTAGATAACTACAATTAGTCCCTTCCAAAACCTTTGAGACTAACGTCAAAAACTGGTGTCTAAGAATAACGGATAACGACAGTGTTAAAAGTATTGTTTTATACATAGTCATTTCCCAGTAGCCTTCACTAAGTAAGTGAACCAATCACAATCAATTTTAAGAAAGCGAGACACCTGTTGACTATTTATTTCAAGTATATGCCAAGTTATTTCGCGCTTATTTTATAAATCACATTTTTTAACACCCAACATGCAAGTTGCTTTCTGAATTTATCATCACATTTAATAGCGTAATTCTTTGTTAATTCCTTCGTTTAGGTTGTTAGTGATAAGATAACGAGACATAAAGAAGACATTTATCACATCACGAGTATTGTCACTGTAGTAGAAAAGGAAATGGTTTTTATGACCATTTTGCGAAAGCGTACAATCCATTAGTTTATTATTCAATGGAGCTGACTTGAAATACTTATCCGAAGTGACGTATGGCAAGATTATAGTAACAAAAACTGTCTTCGAGAATTCGTAGAATGGCTATCTGACTGGTTGTAATAAAACTGGAAAATATCGAAATCGGTAAAATGCTCAAACCTGAGAGAAACTTAATAAAAAAAAATCTAAACTGTGATTGGATAAGAATCCCAGACGTTGCATCAAAAATTTTTTAAATATTAATTAGGCCGAAACTGTAAAGGATGAAAAGAACAAGCGTGTTAAAAACAAAACATCAGTAAAAAATTAATAATAAAGCGCAGTGCTCTTGCTGAGGAGTCTGAAGAAAAAGTTTTTCTGAAGCAGGTGATTTTCGATAGTGGAAAACGTGCATTAAGTACATGCAAGTCAAATCGCACCTGCTCTCACTCAAACAAGTAGTGTGAATCATAAAGCAGTCATACACTTAAAAACACCATAAATATATAAGTAGAGTACTCAAGATAACAGAAAGACATGCCTGTTTCACGATGGATTTATATGACCAACTGAAAGTGTTCTGAAACAAACGATATATAGACACACACACACAAGATCCAAGGAAAGTAAAAAACAAACAAAAACTACCTCCACTAGCATTCAGCTTTTTCGTCATTACGATGAAAAGAAATACAAGGGATCAGAGAAAGAAGTTTAAGAGCTAGCAAAAATTTCTAAAAATTTCCTACGACTTTTGAAATAAACTGTTTTTTCAACCTTGTACCTTTAAAATATATAAATCTAATTCAAAGTTCAATTACTTACTTCACAATTTCACACTACTTTGCCCCCCACTGGAAAAATGTCTGCCTGAACCTCAGGTGTCTTAGACTTAGCCGTTTAGCCTACCTTTCGTATAAATAACTGTTCTGGTTGAAAATGCTTTACGTAATTTCAACCTATTAATTTTTCATTATCATGTTATCCAATTGTTCAGTGTTATCTTGCACTCAGAAAACTCTATAACTTTAAAATGAAACCAATCATTATTTATTACTTTCATTGCAAAATTTCATTCTTTAAACGTTGTTTTTATGCTGCATAGCAGTTATGTACAAGTTCCACAATAGGACACCATGCCTTTTACTAAGAAATTCCTTTAAAAAAGGGTGAAAATTGAAAGATCTTTCCGGAGAACAAGGTAGTAAGCATGTTACATTTATCTTAAAAGTAGTCTCCAACTTCTGAACTTACAAAACAAGAACTTGACTGGCAGAACTGGGCAAGTTTATTTAGTGTTAGGATATAATATTGACATTATTTGAGATATCTATCCAAGGCCTAACTAAAGCTTTGATGACGGAAAAGACTTAAAGGGTAGATGTCAGATGCTGAAAAAAATAGCAACTTGATCGATGTAATCGGGCAAGTTTATTTAGTGTTAGGATATAATATTGACATTGAAAATAGGGGCAGTCTAAAATGCTTACTTTAAAAAATACATGTCAATATTTGAAACTGAAGCACATTAAACTATGTTAAGCGTTTTCCACATTAAGCATTTCAGACTGCCCCAAGTGTCAAACGCTGAAAAATAAAAGACAGTGAAAAACTGCTCAAATTGTTCCATTACTGCAATTCGCTTGCATACGTCGATTTTATGGTCAGAAATGTCCAAAACAAAGAAGTTGGCTAAATATATATATATTAATTAGCGATGTTTCCTTTTCACAAGATCTACCAACAAGGCTTCTGACAAAGAGGGGGCCACATCCGTAAACATAGCATGACGTTCTTATGGCTTCGTTAAGCAGAAAACACAAATCATTCAAGCATTTCAACATGTGTGAATCAACGTTAAGTCAAACACACAGTACTATTAATTACTGAATGGTGGTTTCAGACTCCAGACATTTGAAAACACGCTCTTTGATCGTATAGTTAGTACTGTTTTTTTTTATGCCTGGTAATATGAAAGCTCTAATCAAGTATTAATACTGTGCTTAACTTGCTTTTAATATTATATGTTGTGCACACAAAAAAAAAGCACTAAATCGTTTTTAAGATTGAATACACGGTGTTCTGCACGTCCGGTTTATTTCGAATTTTACCGAAAAATTCCCGGATTTTTTCAGTGGAAGCTCGGTTCTTATCGATTTTTATCTGGTTTTCTGTCTACCATTCCAGTATTTTCAGGGTTCTATTTCTAGAAAACAGAAAAAATAATTTAAATCAAAATTATGTTTCGTTTATCCCCAACAGTATAACACAAGAACATCCATTGTATACTATAGATATAGGTATTTATAGGTAAGATGTAAAAAATTAACATTCAAACATCAAACCTGATTTGTTCACTAATTTGTTCTAATTGTCACTTGATATCACAACTGGCCAATCGTAGGCTGTTTTGAATGTGAGTATTTACATACAAGTAAAGTAAAGAGTAACAATGTCATACAATTTATAAGTACATAGCAACAATAGTTATTCCACAAATAAAGTAAATCCAAATAGTGTGAATCTTTTCCTTTTTTTTTTCGAAACCAATTTTTAACGATATTTCGGTTAACACAGTTTCCACCAGCTTGACTTTAAATTTTAAACTAAAGTCCGAAAATATCCAGAAATGCAAAACATATTTCTTACGATGGTATACTTTCTTTAACCAGATTTATTTTCCAAACTAACTACATCTTACAAAACAGTAAAATGCTAAAAATGTGTCCAGTTTTTAAATGATATAACTGACTGGCTTACAGATCACTGAAATATAGACTTTATTTACATTCCATATCCGTTCAATACAATCTCACCATATGTGTCGGATATATTATATCACATAGCCAACATCCGAAAAACTGAATACAACTTAGTCAATTTAGTAATGTTTCAACTTTTGTTAAGAGAATAACATATACAGTAAGTTTATATAATCATATTCTAGTTTCCAAATGAACAGAGTGTAATTTGTTTTCACCTTATTGCATTTAATAATAATAAGCACAGCCGGCCATAAGGACCTTCTCGTTATGGGGGATCTACGTACAGTTTCGGTCACATTGGTTCATTGTCGGATACTATGAGAAACCCTGCACTTTGTCCTTCCCAAGGGCCTCGAATGGCCAAGGCTGGCTCTAGTAATAAGTAGGCATGAGACAAACATTGCTTATAAAACCCAGCTTCATCCACTGGAGATTCGATTAACGGTTATACCTTAAACATCCTACAAATGAATACCCACTAATATAAAAATATACAATTCTGTGAAATAAAAAGTTTGATTTTTGCTCACTAGAGGGAGACACATACAAAAGTTTAAACATGTATGTTCAACCAGGGAGATAACTATTGATTTTTACCTAACTGTAAGGTAATTAAAAGTAAGCTCATTTTAAATGTTTTGTTCATTATACAGAAAGTTCAATACATCATATTTAAATGATTTTGAATACATCTATCAGTTATTTATAAATAAAATTATCACTAAGTACATATGTACATTAATTTGAACTACTGGTTTTAGTGCTGAAATGCACAAGACTTTGGGATTTTGTGCCATTCAACATCTCAAACTTCTAAATCATTCCCATGTCTAAGGATTATAATTTTTGTAAAAAATTCATGTACTAGACAACTAAAATTGTAATTTTTGAAATGACTTTATATTAAATAAGAAACTTTGTAGTATTGTCTTTGGTAATTTTAGAAAGATATATAGCATTTGAAATATTGTGACCTTCTAACAGTATTCTCTTTAAAAAATATATCATTAAAAGCTTGAATCATCTTAGTATACAGAGCACAGTAAATTATATACAGGGTGCCACAGCTCCCTATACACAAAAAATACACACACGCAAATAGTTACACACCTTTTCCCTTTTATTTTTAAGTGATGTTGAAGTTCACTATTTAATTTATGAAAAAAAAGAGTATTTATCTATAGCACAGAAAAAGAAACACCTGGGTATAGGTGTGAAACTTTTTGACTTTTGTCCTGTGTTTGTTTGATAATTCACTGTTAATCATATTATATTGTTCAATTTTAATTGCAATTAAACTTTCTGAATATCAGTTACAATAACTACACTAGGTGGTACATACATTAATACTGAAATTAATGATGTAAAAAAAACAAATGATTTTTTTTATGTTATACAACTTGCAGATTGTTGTCATTTACTATGGTATACGTTGAAGCAGAAAAGCCATACAAATAACATAATGCATGTGTTCGATCCCCTGTAAATTGCCTGCAACAATATGAATGCAGATTTCTGGAATTCAGCAAATGACTGTCAAGATCCTCTACTCTGGATGGTAAGACCCTGATATGAATGGTTACACATTATTAAGGCCCCAGCTAAGACCCTGATATACACAAGTACTTCTGTATTTTAATCTATGTCTATAAAAGCTATCAAAAGTTCATCTTTTATTTTTCTAATGACAGTAATAATAAAATTATAACTAACACATTCTTAGGTATCTTGACTTTCCAGATTCTCTTGGTGATTAGAATGATCATTCTCTCTTACATAATTGGTTAAGTAGTGACCAATCAAATACCTGAAAAAAAAAGAATATTACATATGAAAATATTTAAAAAAAACTATAAAAAAACAACTCATTCTACAATTCTATGATTAACAGTAAGTTTCACGTAAAAGTAAAACATGTCAAACAATGGAAGTACTTTATCTAATTTACCAATTAAATACACTGGTGTAACAAAAAGGTAACATAATTTGTATTATTAGTTGTAATTTGTTTCTGAAAAACATGCATTTATAAGAAAGTTTAATTGAAACTTCATACTCATTTTACTTCAAATCACCAAAGTCACATTTCAAAGAGAATTTTCTGATAAATTGCTCTATAAAAGTAACGTATATACAAGTATGAACAAATTATAACAGCAGATTTTATTCCTGCATAAATAATAAATTTCCCTTGAAACACCAAAATGCAGCATTTTATGCATTAAAAATATATTAATAGCCAAGCTACCAAGCACTAAAATTTTGTATCTTACAAACATACAAGATGCATCTGTAGCATAAAGCCAAGAAAATAAACAAGAAGTTATTTCTTATTTATAGGAAATATTAAAATGTCAAATGCATTTCTTTCTGCAAATTTAAGAAATTATATGGTAAAAAAAGATAATTAAATCAACAAAATCCTTAAATACATATGATCATAAGTATCAAACTGCTTGTCAAATTCCTTTTGCACAACTGTCTTATGGTATTTTGTAAGAGCAATGTGAACACAGAAACTTTATAAAAAAACATAGACATTTAAAGAGCACACTCACCTCTCATTAATCCATTTTTCATATATCCTGCTTATACTCTTTATCAAATAAAAAATTCCCAAAGAAACTAAAACACCAGTAAATACAACTGGGTAGAATTTTCTCACTATCCTGTGTTGCATTTCATAGCTGAGTTCTAAAACATGGAGAAAACAAAACATATGTTTTAGCTTATTTGTATAGCAGTTAAAAACCTGCAAAATCAAACTGTTTATTATCTACATAGAATATGTTAGTCAGGTATTTGTTTATCCACACACTTCTTGATAACTATATACCCAAAGCAATGGAATAAATGTAATTTTCATTAAATCAAATCACCTGACAGAAATACTTTCCAATAACTATTTTTTTTATGATGATCCAGAACATTACATTTTCTACAAAGAATCTCCTTTTTTTTTAATGAAAATCCTGAACAACAAGTATTACACTAACAATGTTCTGTTGATGATCATGAAAACAAGTTTCCATCAACAATATCCTTTACAATGATTCAGAATAAGTGATGAAGACAAAGAATAACAAATTTTATACAAATAATTTTTTTTTTTCATGAAGATCCACAATAAATTTTTTATCAATATTATTCTTTGATAATTAACCAGAATAGCAAGTTTTGATAAACAACAGTGAAATGCTTCGACATGATGATAAAGTCTTCACTCAATATGAAACAGCAGTGAGGAACGCAATATGTCTCACCTCATTTTTATTGGGTTGCTCATAAAAGCAAATAAATTTCAGTATGAACAATTACAGGATTTGATCCCATATGTCAAATCAATTCTACAATCTACAAGAATGTTCACTGAGATGCTTCATTGAAAATTATTTTAACAATTGTTATTGATAAAATATAAACAACTGACACCAAACTAAACAAATAAAAGAATACTCCTACTGATGTAACTCTTACTGCAATATGACTAAAGACCTATTTGTTACCATATGATGATCCTCAGCTTGATTTTGCTGTATCTTTATCTTAACAAATGACTCCATGGTAAAATGAGGTAGCACTAAGAAGCGACTGAGGTGTGACAGATCGATCACAGGCTGCCAGTCTCCGGTTTTCTTGGGGGCAACAAACAGCCTGGAATAAAACCCTGGAGAAGGGTGAACCACAGGTTCGATGGCATTCTGAGAGAGAAGATCCTGTATTGCCTCAGACAGGTGCTGACATGTGGTAGGATTCTGAGGCAATGGAAAGGAGACAGGTATCAGAGACAACAGAGGAGGGGAGAGTAAATGGATGACAAGACCTTTGGATAAAACTTGAAAGACCCATAGATCTCTGGAAAAGTCTCACCATAGATGAGCAAACTTGGATAAATGAGACCCCACCAGACCAGAGCCCACGGGGTAGTAACTGATACTGTTGGCAGCACGACTCTTGGCGTTGAATGAAAATCTCCTAGTGGAAGGAACATGTAGGGGTTGGGAAGGATTAGGACAGGGAACAGAAATAGGGGATGGTAAAGGCTCTGTGTGAAACACATGATCAACCAACAAGGAAAGAGTTGACTGCTGTCTCACAGATTCCACTCAGGATTCCAAAGTCGCTGGAAGATCTCCAAACACAGATTGATGGAGAAAAGGGGCCAGGCATAAGTCCCTATAATAAGGAAATGGCAAATGAACGTGGGACAAAATCTTGTCTCTTCCCCCAAAATCCCAACAACAGAGGAACTACATGTATAAAGAAAGAGCCGAAGTCAACAAACATGCCAACAAGGATGTAATTAGGGCAAATTTATTCCCCCCAAAACTCTCAGGATCTCAGTGGATTGCCTCTGAGAAGAAGTGTATGGTGGACAATTACTGCAAGATAGATGTGAAGTTAAGATGAAAGCAAGAAAATTGGGTCATGGGACAAAAGTAGAGGGCATTCAGGGTCCAACCCCCAAACAGGTAAAATGGATTCCAGTTGCTGAGAATCAAGGAATGGAAAATCAGCCTGATGTTAGGCTAAAGCAAACTGATCCGAAGCCCGTGGAGGGCAAGGCATGCCTGTGCCATCAGGTAACTGAGATACAAAATACTTGACATGAACCCCAATATCAGGAGATGGTGGAAACACAAAATATCGAAAAGAAGGAGTATCATGTAACAAGGAAGGTAGAAGATTACAGAAAATTGAGGAAAGGGATAAAACAGAACATACCTTGGGAAATCACGCCAAAAACGTTGTATTAGGCCTATTGGAACCCACAGTAGGAACTGGGGAAGACATGGAAAATTCAGGTAGAGGAAAAAGGCTCTCAAATGTTTCGCTGTCCCGAACAGGTTTGGCTTTTTCAGGAAGAAGTTGGGCAACATTAGGAGAAGAATGGTGGCTTAAATAACAATCAATCTCTCAATGAATAATTGCAGATAATTCCAAAGTTGAGTTCCCCCTACCCGAAGCCTGAGTAAATATGCTGGTAGAAGGTATAACCTCTGACATGGTAACTTGCACTTCAGAATTTATAAAGCAAATGAAAACCAAACACAACTGTGTTGGTAAAAAAAGAAAAGCATGGAAAAATGATTAAGTTCTGTGACTGGGTAGAAAATTAAATAATACCAGGAAGAAATGAGGTTCAAATAACAACTGTGTAAAATAAGTAGGAAACTACAAAATAAATTATATGAAAATTCAAAAAGAGCACTAAATAAAACGTTCAAACAAGAACGATGAGAAGTGATAGTTAGGTAGAATAGCATAGAGGGAGTCACATGAGTTGCATGTGTGGAGGGCGTGTCTATTGGTGGAGGTTTGTCGCATAACAATTTGCATGCTTGAATCAGTTAAACCATGTGAATCGAGGGGTATGTGGGAGTGAAAAGCTTGTGGCATGCGGAAAAAAAATTGAAAATAGAGGGCAGCACTGAATGAGAATAGCTATGTATGTGAGCAGAAGTAAGGTACCTTATTGGAAATTTGATTACTTCTACAGTCCTTATGTAGAATCCATTAATATACAAATAATAGGCAATAACACTTATTCCGTCTGCAATGTATTAACTCCAAAGCAAAAAAATAACAGCATAAATTTATAACAGTACATACATTTTAGCTTGCACCTAAGTAAAGGAATGTGTCAGTGCATACTTGTTACAAGCACACTTGCATTATTCTTTTTAATAGAAAGTGACAAAAATGACTCATCCATACAGCATACTTTTAAATAACGTGTAAGTGAATGCTTTTTCTTATCAACAATGTAGCAGCCATCTGCCAACATATGCGTGACTTGTTTTGCATTTTTTTACTTTGCCAAGTATGTCAGATTACAGCTAGAAAAAGTTCTCTCTCTAAACATTTGTGGGTGCCAAGCACCAGGAACCCAGTTGGCTATGCTCTTGCAGCACAACAGAGCAACTAGTGTGTAAAATATTAATGAACCTAAATTACTCCAGTGAATAGGTTATTCAACTTCATTGAGTAGTTTATTGTGTAAGTCACTTTTTATATAAAACAGATGTAAGTGAGGTATTAGGACTGATATTTTTATGTTAAGACTTTCATTAAAAGAAACACTTTATAATTCAGAAGTTAAACATAGTATTAAAAAACAAATCAATGTAGCACAACCAAGCAGTGGCTGTAACAGTTTTAAACATAATGTTAAAAACAAGAGCAATCGGAGAGACTGCATACCCACGCCCCGCTGCTCCTTTTTGAGATTGTATGCATTTATAATGGATAGAATTAAATTTTACTTTCGAAAAATCTTAGAAAATCTTTCTCAGATCCAGAATGATCAACAATCCAGATCATTTTTTGTAGTGTGATGAGGAGTCTCAACCTTAATGTGCCTATGAAATTTGGTACAACTTCAATCACACTTTACAGAGTTATTAATACAAAACTGTGAAAATGCCCTATCTCTCCATTATAAAAAATGTTTCAAAATGGTCCAGAATCCAGAGTTGTATCCAGACTAAATTTGGGGAGGACCATTTCATACTGGCTTCCCAGCTTATGTAAAATTTTCGTGTAAATCATTCTATTAGTTTTCAAGATATACATGCTGAAACACAGACCTGATTACAATAGTCTCGCCCCCTCCTCCAGGTGCAAGGGTAGTAATTACCATAACACTACCAAGCAATGGCTGTAACAGAGTTTTAAACATGGTTTAATCATAATTACTGTAGCACTACCAAGCAATAACTGTAACAGAGTTTAAAACACAGTGTTAAAAATAATTACTGTAGCATTACCAAGCTATGGCTGTAACAGAGTTTTAAACACGGTGTTAAAAATAATTACTGTAGCACTACCAAGCTATGGCTGTAACAGTTTTAAACATAGTGCTAAAAATAACTACTGTAGCACTAACAAGCAATGGCTGTAACAGTTTTAAACATGGTCTTAAAAATAATTACTGTAACACTACCAAGCAATGGCTGTAACAGTTTTAAACATGGTCTTAAAAATAATTACTGTAACACTACCAAGCAATGGTACAGAGTTTTAAATATGGTATTAAAAAAAATAAACTAATTTGATACTATCATGCAGTGTTTGTTACAGACTTTAAACACAGTATTAAAAAATTATACTACCTTAACATTACCAAACAGTGACTGTCAAAAATATGTAAAGCAGTAATTAAGTGTTTCTTTCTTATTACAGTTGATTTAAAGCCTAAAGTTTATAAGCACTTAAGAACTAGTTTAATATGTACATATATATATATAACTGGTGAGATGGTGAAGTCACACCTAACTTAACTCCAGTCAATATTATTTACTGTGAGTACATCTGTTAATTAATGATTATATTTTGTAGATTTTCTGTGACTGTGACCCACCTATTTATACAGACTATTACAGAAATTAATAAGCATATTTCCTGAATCCTTACACAGGCACAAACTCAAAGTAGCATTTTATAGTTTAACATGGAAAAAAATTTTTTTTAAATGGTTAAAGTGAAAACAGTATTTCTTAAATCTAATACTGATAAAAATTACTACTAAATCAAGTATATTTCGATGCATATGTCATATGAACAGATTATTAGTAATTGGAATCATCCTGTTGTATAGCACCTTATGCACATATGGGCTAATTGACTAGATCAGAGACCCTAATGTTTAGGCATATCCATCCCTAATTTTGAACTACTTATCAGAGAGAAGGTTAGCAGCCAGCTGCACCTGCCACCACAAGGTTTTTTTGTCTGGCTCTTTGAACAAAATAACAGGAATTAATATGTCCAAAGCTGAAAATCCTGGACAGGTTTGGTGACATCACATCTCAAACCCTAAATATCCTGACCTGCAGCCAATCCCACTAACCACTAGGCCACACCTAGCTCAAAGAGATTATTTGTCTGCTTAGTTTTCTGGATTGAACATGGTAATGCCACCTAAAGGAATGTTTCAAAGAACTGATGGAAATTATACATTGTTGACATTTTATTTGTCTGATTTTAGTTTTCTGCACTCACCTATACACAGTTTCACTATAAAAAATAATCATACTGGGTTTAATTTGCTTTTACACCCATCTTTATACTATTTCATTATAAAAACAACCTTATTTATAGTAAAAAAGCAATCATACTGTTTTAGTTTTACACACATTTTTATCTTCTTTTACAATAAAACAAAACTCTAGTGATAGTAAACATATAATCATGCTGGTTTCATTTTTGTTTCAACACCCATCTAAAACAATTTCAATAATAAAAGGGCAATATAAAACACAGTTGTAAGTATAAAAATAAAATAGACATAATTTCACTCTTAATGAAACAAGCCTTATTAAGATGACAGTTGATATTGGTCATAACACCTCTTAGTCTTTTTATCTAATATAAGAAGAATTACCACAGTTTCTTTGTTGGTCTTCTTGAATTTCATACATAACTACTCAAGGATTATCTATGTTTGCGTCCCTAATTTTGAAGTGACAGGTTACAGAGAAGGCAGGTATTCAATACCACTCTTTACCAACAATAAGTGGAATTGAACATTACAATACCCCCATGGGTGAAAGGAGGAGCATGTTTGATGATGGTCGAGATTCTAACCCACAAACCTGCAGGTTGTGAGTCAAGCAACTTAATCACCAGACCATGTCACCCCCAAATTTTTTAAAAATAAATAATTTTGTTGATATATTTCAAGTCATGAAGCTTGATTGCATGGCAAAGTTAGATAAATTCCACTCACCAAAATGAAGAGCGAAATAAGAAGACACACCAAAAGGAAGTATCAAAGCCAACACCAGAAGTAAAACAGCCGGTAGGGCCACATTCATACAAATTGTTCTAAGACTAACTTGTTTAAATCCATCACTGTGTATCTGAAATAAAATATCCATGTAAAGGAGCAATTATTAATATTTTTGCATCTTTTGTATGCTGGTTTTTTAAACAATCTTGTAGTATATCTTCATAATAAATTAAAATGTTCCAACCATATTTGAGTGTTTTCTTTAATATGTTTTAAGTACAAGGTTATTATTTTTTTTATCAGAATAGTAAATGCAACTATAAATACACAGATGGATATTTAAATTACTATATTTTTAGACTGCATTAAACTAACAAATTTCTTTAAAATATTCTTACTATAAATTTCAGATTTATCAGCAACATATTAAGTTTCTGCCCTTTCTTGTGTTTCTACTGATAAACTCTATTTTTTTTTTTTACTCAGGTGCCAGATTATAATAACCAAAAATGCATTAAAGTCTCCCAAAAGCATGGTTGGCTTGGGTAAAGATTGTTCTAAATTATTAATGAAGTCTGTTGCATGCTGGATGGATTAAATGATTGACTTCAAAGGTAGTACTTCTCATCATATTTATACCATAAACACTACCATTTCTTGAGTGACTGAACTCTGAAGCTACTGAAAGTTTATGTAGACTGTACTGGCTACAATGGGTCATATAGAATTAATAGGTACATTACAAATTAAATAATATTAGGAATACTAAAATTTGTCGTTTAACATAAAAATCTAATAGTTTTATCCAAAACTACTTTTCTATTTTAATGAAAGAAAATGTGTCAATAATTAATGTAAAGTAACACAGACTACCTTAGAATAGCAATCATTTAGCCTTACTTGTGTACCTGTTAATCCTAATCAGTAGTATTAAAATATCCAAGTAATTCTGCTTATTATTATAAAATATCCATTCCATACCCAGTAATTCAGTATACTGGTGTAAAATAATTGTTTCCATACTAGGTAATTCTGTTTAATAGTGTAATATATCCTTTCCCTACCAGTAAGTCTGCTTAATAATGTAAAATATCACTTCCCTACAGGGTATTCCTGCTCAGTAGTGTAAAATATTACTTCCCTACAGGGTATTCCTGCTTAGTAGTGTAAAATATATCTTCTCTATCTGGTAATCCTGCTCAGTAGTGTAAAATATCTCTTCCCTACTGGGTAATCCTGCTTAGTAGTGTAAAATATCTCTTCCCTACTGGGTAATCCTGCTTAGTAGTGTAAAATATCTCTTCCCTACTGGGTAATCCTGCTCAGTAGTGTAAAATATTACTTCCCTACAGGGTATTCCTGCTTAGTAGTGTAAAATATATCTTCTCTACCTGGTAATCCTGCTTACTAGTGTAAAATATCATTTCTGTGACAGATAATCCTCCTGAATAGCATAAAATATCCCTTCCATAACAGGTAACCCTGCATTACAGTACAAAATAGCCTTTCTGTACCAGATAATTGTGCTTATTAATGTACAATATCCTCTACATAACAGTTATACCTGCTTATTAATGTAAAATATTCCTTCCATACTCTAGGCAGTCTTGCTTAATAGTGTAAAGTATCCTTTCAGAACAGTTTAATCTTGATTAGTGTAAAATATACTTTCCATACCAGGTAAACTTGCTTAACAGTGTAAGATAACTTTTCTCTACCAGGTAGTCCTGCTTATGTGTAAAATACCCTTTCTATACTAAATGATCAATCTTAGTTATATAAAATATTATGAAGACTAAATTCAAAATAAAATCTCTGAAAACCATGGTAGTTTTGAAAAACATTATATCACATGGATGAAGCTTTATTTATTACAGGATTTTTCATGGTTAACTGTAACAAAACAATCTGAAAAATATATTATCAACATGAAATCTCATGCAACAACATACATGAGATCCTTAATATAATATAGTGATATTCTTTGATAACATACACAGTTATATCTCTTTATAAAGTTACTATAAATTCATTAAAATCAAACCTTTTCAATAATATCTGCTAACCACCAGTCAGGTCTTGCAAGTACAACGATAGCCAACAGCTTTACCTGTAAAACTCCAATGACCCAATCCTGGAAGAAAAAAATTGAATATGTCATCACTTTTTTTTTCTGACAAAACAGATTAAGATATCTAACAACTTATAAATGATAAACAGCACATTCTTATACTAAATACATTCCTATATTTCATGTACATGAATCTAATTTCAAGATTTAATAAAGTATTTTTTTCGAAAACAATTTGTGACTGGGAAGTACATAAAAACTAGTCTATACAAAGTCAAATAATTTAATTATGTATATATATAAAATAGTTAATAACCACCAAATATGTCAAAACTACCATGAAAAAACAATGAAAAGTTTAATTTAAATGAAAAATGAAAGGAAAAGGAAATAAAAAGAATGAAGAAAAACATAAAAAAAAATCTATTAACCAATGAAACATAATACAAAGTTCCGGGATGCAAGGTGTAGCGTAAGAACCTATCAAATGTATCTTGATTTCAGGAGAATTTAAGGAAGTAAGTCCTACTTATAAGTAGGGATACACAGTTTCCCAAATTTAACCTCTTAATACACATACAGAACACTATTATTGCAGATAAACATTATTACATGAAGGTATATAATGCAGTAGGTGTGGTAGCTCAAGCCTACAATGTGAAGTTGTTTTTTTATTAGATTTGTACATGCACACACTTTATATTGACCTTTTCTATGTTTCCTTAACAATTATTAGAAAAAAAGTATTTTATTAACCTTTTATACATCTGGACCAAGTAATCTAACTACTTATTCCTGCATTTTTATTTTAAAATGTTCAAACCCCATTTGCGCTTATTTAGTCATTTATATTAACATAAACATGATTCATAATTTGTTTTTTCATAACAAAATTTAGAGCAGATATAAAAATCACTAATTTTTTCTTCTACTTAAGCATGTTTGGAATAAAATATTATAAACAAAGTTTCCAGTATTATAAGTGAACAAGTGATTTATATAAAATCTACTCAATCACAGTTCATATAAAATGGTTATAAAAGCTACACAAAATATATTAGAATGTTTCAAATAGTTGGATATTGTTGTTTATTAACTGGAGAACAGCAAAAAATTTTCTCCATTAAGGCCTATGCAAAATTTTCCATAAAAAAATTCAAAACGTTTGAAATAAGCTATCATAAAATAAAAGATGAATCTACCCAATAATTTTACTGAATATTCAGCTATTATAACTCATCAGTGTTTTATAGAAATTTCTTCATCAAGTTACTTAGTAATGTATTCTATGTGTGTTATTTAAATATATTTAAGTCAAAAATGCTCATAAATGATCAACCCCAGGCAAAATTAATAGGCACTGATATACATGTATTAATGTATTAACAAAAACCATTTCTGGTGAACAGTTCTTATATGAAATTAATGTGACCAGTTAGAAGTTAAGAATGTGTTTGAGTCTGTCTTTAATCGTCCCTATGTAAAGGACATCTAGTTTCATATTCACTTTAAATATGAATACAAAAAAGTAGTATTTTTCCTTTTGATTGGCTTTGAAACTTAAGACACGAAAAACCTTAAGTAGTATTTTCCCTTTTGATTGGCTTTGACACAGAACCCAATATATATGTACAAAAAGACAAAGTGAACACTCTTAAAAATAAAATAACTAAAATGGGATATAAAAACTACAATAAAACTACATTTCACCACCATTAACATGGCATCACCAGGTACATAGCGATTGTACATTAACAGTGGTAAAACATTTGATTTTTTCTATCCCATTTTTAGCTGTTTTAATCTTTAAAGAATGTAGGATACCCCCATTTACATTATCAATGGAACGTCTTGTGTCTCTGCCAAGTTTTAACAGAACGAACATAATCATTCTGGAAAGTATGTAAAGTCCATCCATTTGCACTTGTATTTGGAATTCTTTTTTATAACCCATTGTGATTTCAACTGAAATGGAAGCCTGATGTGGTTTGTTATCCCCTCAAAAGAGAATCTTAATGCATTTCTTAAACAGCAAGGTGTGAAGTCACAGAAAAAGTAGAAAGGATAAAAATTCACATTGCAACTTTCTTGTTTTAGTTTCAACATTTTACCTAGAGATCACATTTATTTGGAATAAAACTCTTGTTGTATACATGTAAGGCTCATAATTAGTGGCAGCTAGCTGGCAAACAGCCAGTGTATTCTAATGTTAAGCCAGAAACCATCAAAGAATACTAGTATTTGTTTGCCACTTGATAACCTAGGTATGATTATGAATATTCAGATCAGTTGTAAACAATGGTCAATATAATTTTAAAAAACTGGCTGCAAGCACAACATTTATAAAAACACAAAACAACAATAATTGATTCATGTCTTTTCCGAAAATTTGTTGTGCATCATTCTCAAGCATCTGTCAATGGATTCCTGAAGTTTAAAATAGTAAGTGTTTAAATTGTTTCAGTTTTTTAATTCTAAAACTCTTTTCATTTCATTTTAAGGAATGTGATAATTATCAGAAATATAGGTCTAAAATTTAATAGTGTTGCGTCATCGATGTCACGTGACTGGTGTGGTGCCACCTATTTTCTAGAAC